GGAGCGGAAGTCTGTTATGGAGCGGAAGTGACGTCATATCCGCTTTAGACAAGGTTTTTTTTTTGGAGTGGAAGTCTGTTTTGGAGCGGAAGTCTGTTTTGAAGTGGAAGTGACATCATATCCTGTTTGTATATTTTTTTCAAGGTCACGTGATGACTTAACAACAATAACAACAAACATAACTCTTACATCTCATGGCAATTTTGTTCAAGATCACGTGGTGGCTCAACAACAATAGCTTGAGATAAGAACGTGATGACTCAGCAACAATAGCTTGAGATATGGGTGGAGGCGACGCGTGGAACCAAGATCAAGGTCAGCAGCCAAGATCAAGGCCAGCAAAGCCAAGGTGATGACTCAGCAACAATAGCTTGAGATAAGGGTGGAGGCGACGCGTGGAACCAAGATCAAGGTTAGCAGCCAAGATCAAGGCCAGCAAAGCCAAGTTTGAGATAAGGGGGCGTGAGAGTTTTTTTTGTGAGTGATATGCATGCGTAAAAACAAAAAACAAAAAAACAAAAAAAAGTTGTGATAAGGGGTAGTGATGGCGCGTGGGACCAAGATCAAGGCCAGCAAAGCCAAGCTTGAGATAAGGTATGCATACGTAAAAACAAAAAAAAAATGTTGTGATAAGGAGGGTGATGGCGCGTGGAGTGTGAGAAAAAATGAGAAGAAATGCTTACTAAAATAACCGAAAGAGGTTTTAGAATAGCTTTACATTTTCGGGAAATCACTTCATTGACAAGCGCAAGTGAGTGTAGTGTTTCTGAAAAAATGGTGCGATATTGTGTAACGTGTAATCTGCGTGTAAATAAAACTCGATGGAGCAATCATCTTCGAACAAACGAGCACAAGAATAACGCGTTTAAGTCGTTGGATGGACGTGTAAAGCTGTCTTCGAGCGGCTTTCAAAACCGCATCTGTACATATCGTTTTGAGGCATAGTCTGTGGTACTTGGTCCCTAATACTTCGTACCTAGCAGCTGGTACAGGGGTACCCAAGTCACAATGTACCACACTTCCAAGTACCATTTGTTAAGGTATTACTAATCACGAATCTGGCAAGTGCAGCAAGCTTGCATTTTGATTCATTGGACTGTGGTAATCTATATATAGATATAGATATACATATATAGCTATATATATATATGTATATATTTATATATATAGATAAGTAAGAGAGTTGTATGCAGCACTTCTTTATATGGAAGTCTTATATGCAACGTCTTTTGTTTATGTTTTTTTGTTGTTGTTTATGTTTATGTATGTGCAGTCAAACTTTGGATCTACTCGTAGCATTATCATAGATTATAGTATTAGTTAACTGTGCTTGCAGAACCAAAATCAACTTCATTTTACATTTTGTTTGAAATGCGAAACTTAAATAGTCAGAACTCGGGCTACAAAACAATTTCAAGTTACGTGTAAATGTGTCTTCTGTGTGTGTGTGTGTGTGTGTGTGTGTTGGGCATGATATATGTCTCTAGTTAACTGTTATTGGTGTTTGTGTATTGTTCTTTTAAACGCTTCTGGGAAAACTAACTAACTGATCTGATCTGATCTAATCTGGTCGAACCGGATCGAATCGGATCTGATCTGATCTGATCTGGTTTGCCGATCTAGCTGTGCACAAACTGTTGGAGCAGTATTAGCCATGGCATTGTGATGATTAGTATGATTTGTTGATAACCGTTAGCGAATGAGTATAAACTTTTACTAGAATTGCACATATCTTCCTCACAAAAGCACATATGTCCATTGCCTGAACTTTCCATCATGCACACGTGATCGACCTTGAATAAATTGATTTGTAATTGTGACGTACACATGCGTCGCACCACCTCGTAGGCTGCAAGAACAAGGACAAGCATAAAATCACATATCGGGACGTGTGTGACTCGTGACTCGTGACACGTGACTCGTGGCTCGTGACCCATGACGCGTTACTTACGTGATCGCTGATGTCGCACCATCTTCACACAGCAGCCATTGCAGGTCATCAAAGGCGGCTGATCATGCGGCAGCGCCGTATAGTTGAACGGATCCTTGCAACGTGCATCCGTCCACGAATCGCACTCGTAACAGTAAATCGAACGCGCTGCAGTATAAAGCACAACATATATATTAACGAACAGCATTAATCACGCCTGAAAACAGAATTCGGCTGCTCATCTGGAATACAGCAAGCGTATCACTATATATATACATATATCAACTCTAACTATGTCATTCCTACAAAATTGCATGCAATTACAGTGTTAAATTGGAACAAGTATGCGACAACGTGAAACAGAAAAAAGTGAATTTGTTGGCAAAATTTATTGCAACTTTTATAGCAATCAAATTTTTATATATATATATATCAAATTTTATAGCGATATTTATAGCAACTTTTATGATAACTTTTATAGCAATGTTTATAGCAACTTTTATAACAAAGTCTATAGCGACTAGTATGTCAATTTTTATAGCAACTTTTACATCAACTTTTCTAGCAACTTTTATAAAAAATTTTTTAGCATCCTTTTTACAATTATAGATAATTTTATAGCAGATTTTGTATAGCATTATTGTAGCATTGCGTTAGGTGCATTATCGAAAACCTTTTCATTGTGTTTTGCCTTGGCTGTAAGCGTAAATAATGTTCTAAATATATACAAGATGTTCGACTAACAAATACCCTGCCTTCTTCAATTTATGTACATAAAGTTTTTTCAAGTATTTGCCTATATTGATACTCGTTCAAGGAGTAAGAAGAGTATATTAGCTTTGGAGCAATTTATGTTTATCTTTGTTTAAATGTTGCATGTCATGTCTCAAAAAGTGTAAAGAGATCTGGAAAATTACTTATATAAATTGGATTTTACTTTATCATGCTTAGCATAAAAATTATAATTTTATTGACGAACATCAAATCTGAAATATATCCTTGTGTATAGAGCTTCCCTTTAGAAATTCTTGAAGACCAATTCTTCTTCTTCAACAATTTTGCTCGACAGGAGCTGCTGAGCTTAATTGTTAAGTCACTCTTTATATTTATTTAAAATAATATATACAACACTATTGGAGGGCGTGGCAAATATATAAGAAATATTTTAAATAAATTTGTATTTATACATTTTGTTTAATGATTTGGGGTGGGTTATTCGCTTTGTCTTGGATCTTGAATTGTGAAAGCTTTCTAAGATTACATAGAAACTGCATCTAAGAATAATTTTCAAAATCAAGACCAAAGGCTAGGGAGTCATAATTACATCAGCTTTAGCTGTCAAGAAATCTTCAGATAAGGTCTTCAGATTAGACTTAAAGTTAAAATTTGAGCATAAGCCTTCAACTTAGATATATTGAGGTATATTTCAGCTATACTTGTGTCATCTTTTCAGACTAGCCTTTAAATAGGATGCTATAAATATTTATATATATATATCTGCTCTTTTATGGATCTTCTATTGTGTAACTTAAGTTAAAAGTTTCAGCATTAAATATTTTATAGACACTAATTTTTCGACTACATCTGATTGTTTAACTAATACAGATTATCTACAAGATGCTATTTGATAGGCCAGAAAAAATTGTTTTTTATTTCAATATATTTTTCAATAACTAAATATTAATCATTCATATGAAATGTGAAGAGATAAAAGCAGAAAGAAGTGTTCATTGCACATTCAGTGATAAGGAAATGTGAATTAGTTAGTCAAAGCAACTGCAACATGTGTTATCTAGTTAAACTACCAAATTCACATTTCCTTATCACTGAATGTGCAATGAACACTTCATAAAAGATCCATAAAAGAGCAGATATATATACATAAATATTTATAGCATTCTATTTAAAGGCTAGTCTGAAAAGATGACACAAGTATAGCTGAAATATACCTCAATATATCTAAGTTGAAGGCTTATGCTCAAATCAACTTTAAGTCTAATCTGAAGACCTTATCTGAAGATTTCTTGACAGCTAAAGCTGATGTAATTATGATTCCCTAGCCTTTGGTCTTGATTTTGAAAATTATTCTTAGATGCAGTTTCTATGTAATATTAGAAAGCTTTCACAATTCAAGATCCAAGACAAAGCGAATAACCCACCCCAAATCATTAAACAAAATGTATAAATACAAATTTATTTAAAATATTTCTTATATATTTGCCACGCCCTCCAATAGTGTTGTATATATTATTTTAAATAAATATAAAGAGTGACTTAACAATTAAGCTCAGCAGCTCCTGTCGAGCAAAATTGTTGAAGAAGAAGAATTGGTCTTCAAGAATTTCTAAAGGGAAGCTCTATACACAAGGATATATTTCAGATTTGATGTTCGTCAATAAAATTATAATTTTTATGCTAAGCATGATAAAGTAAAATCCAATTTATATAAGTAATTTTCCAGATCTCTTTACACTTTTTGAGACATGACATGCAACATTTAAACAAAGATAAACATAAATTGCTCCAAAGCTAATATACTCTTCTTACTCCTTGAACGAGTATCAATATAGGCAAATACTTGAAAAAACTTTATGTACATAAATTGAAGAAGGCAGGGTATTTGTTAGTCGAACATCTTGTATATATTTAGAACATTATTTACGCTTACAGCCAAGGCAAAACACAATGAAAAGGTTTTCGATAATGCACCTAACGCAATGCTACAATAATGCTATACAAAATCTGCTATAAAATTATCTATAATTGTAAAAAGGATGCTAAAAAATTTTTTATAAAAGTTGCTAGAAAAGTTGATGTAAAAGTTGCTATAAAAATTGACATACTAGTCGCTATAGACTTTGTTATAAAAGTTGCTATAAACATTGCTATAAAAGTTATCATAAAAGTTGCTATAAATATCGCTATAAAATTTGATATATATATATATAAAAATTTGATTGCTATAAAAGTTGCTATAAATTTTGCCAACAAATTCACTTTTTTCTGTTTCACGTTGTCGCATACTTGTTCCAATTTAACACTGTAATTGCATGCAATTTTGTAGGAATGACATAGTTAGAGTTGATATATGTATATATATAGTGATACGCTTGCTGTATTCCAGATGAGCAGCCGAATTCTGTTTTCAGGCGTGATTAATGCTGTTCGTTAATATATATGTTGTGCTTTATACTGCAGCGCGTTCGATTTACTGTTACGAGTGCGATTCGTGGACGGATGCACGTTGCAAGGATCCGTTCAACTATACGGCGCTGCCGCATGATCAGCCGCCTTTGATGACCTGCAATGGCTGCTGTGTGAAGATGGTGCGACATCAGCGATCACGTAAGTAACGCGTCATGGGTCACGAGCCACGAGTCACGTGTCACGAGTCACGAGTCACACACGTCCCGATATGTGATTTTATGCTTGTCCTTGTTCTTGCAGCCTACGAGGTGGTGCGACGCATGTGTACGTCACAATTACAAATCAATTTATTCAAGGTCGATCACGTGTGCATGATGGAAAGTTCAGGCAATGGACATATGTGCTTTTGTGAGGAAGATATGTGCAATTCTAGTAAAAGTTTATACTCATTCGCTAACGGTTATCAACAAATCATACTAATCATCACAATGCCATGGCTAATACTGCTCCAACAGTTTGTGCACAGCTAGATCGGCAAACCAGATCAGATCAGATCAGATCCGATTCGATCCGGTTCGACCAGATTAGATCAGATCAGATCAGTTAGTTAGTTTTCCCAGAAGCGTTTAAAAGAACAATACACAAACACCAATAACAGTTAACTAGAGACATATATCATGCCCAACACACACACACACACACACACACACACACACAGAAGACACATTTACACGTAACTTGAAATTGTTTTGTAGCCCGAGTTCTGACTATTTAAGTTTCGCATTTCAAACAAAATGTAAAATGAAGTTGATTTTGGTTCTGCAAGCACAGTTAACTAATACTATAATCTATGATAATGCTACGAGTAGATCCAAAGTTTGACTGCACATACATAAACATAAACAACAACAAAAAAACATAAACAAAAGACGTTGCATATAAGACTTCCATATAAAGAAGTGCTGCATACAACTCTCTTACTTATCTATATATATAAATATATACATATATATATATATAGCTATATATGTATATCTATATCTATATATAGATTACCACAGTCCAATGAATCAAAATGCAAGCTTGCTGCACTTGCCAGATTCGTGATTAGTAATACCTTAACAAATGGTACTTGGAAGTGTGGTACATTGTGACTTGGGTACCCCTGTACCAGCTGCTAGGTACGAAGTATTAGGGACCAAGTACCACAGACTATGCCTCAAAACGATATGTACAGATGCGGTTTTGAAAGCCGCTCGAAGACAGCTTTACACGTCCATCCAACGACTTAAACGCGTTATTCTTGTGCTCGTTTGTTCGAAGATGATTGCTCCATCGAGTTTTATTTACACGCAGATTACACGTTACACAATATCGCACCATTTTTTCAGAAACACTACACTCACTTGCGCTTGTCAATGAAGTGATTTCCCGAAAATGTAAAGCTATTCTAAAACCTCTTTCGGTTATTTTAGTAAGCATTTCTTCTCATTTTTTCTCACACTCCACGCGCCATCACCCTCCTTATCACAACATTTTTTTTTTGTTTTTACGTATGCATACCTTATCTCAAGCTTGGCTTTGCTGGCCTTGATCTTGGTCCCACGCGCCATCACTACCCCTTATCACAACTTTTTTTTGTTTTTTTGTTTTTTGTTTTTACGCATGCATATCACTCACAAAAAAAACTCTCACGCCCCCTTATCTCAAACTTGGCTTTGCTGGCCTTGATCTTGGCTGCTAACCTTGATCTTGGCTCCACGCGTCGCCTCCACCCTTATCTCAAGCTATTGTTGCTGAGTCATCACCTTGGCTTTGCTGGCCTTGATCTTGGCTGCTGACCTTGATCTTGGTTCCACGCGTCGCCTCCACCCATATCTCAAGCTATTGTTGCTGAGTCATCACGTTCTTATCTCAAGCTATTGTTGTTGAGCCACCACGTGATCTTGAACAAAATTGCCATGAGATGTAAGAGTTATGTTTGTTGTTATTGTTGTTAAGTCATCACGTGACCTTGAAAAAAATATACAAACAGGATATGACGTCACTTCCACTTCAAAACAGACTTCCGCTCCAAAACAGACTTCCACTCCAAAAAAAAAACCTTGTCTAAAGCGGATATGACGTCACTTCCGCTCCAAAACAGACTTCCGCTCCAAAACAGACTTCCACTCCCAAAAAACCTTATCTAAACCGGATGTGACGTCACTTCCGCTCCAAAACAGACTTCCGCTCCAAAACAGACTTCCACTCCCAAAAAACCTTATCTAAACCGGATGTGACGTCACTTCCGCTCCAAAACAGACTTCCGCTCCAAAACAGACTTCCACTCCCAAAAAACCTTATCTAAACCGGATGTGACGTCACTTCCGCTCCAAAACAGACAGTTCCTTACTACTGACCAGTTCAACCAGCTCAAATGAACCAGTTCAAATGAACCAGTTCAAATTAACCAGTTCAAATGAACCAGTTCAAATAAACCAGTTCAAATGAACCAGTTCAAATGAACTAGTTAAAATGAACAAGTTCTAATGAACTAATTCCAATGAATCAGTTCAGATGAACTAATTCAAATGAACAAGTTCAAATTAACTAGTTCAAATGAACTCGTTCAACTGAACCAGTTCAACCAGCTCAAATGAACCATTTCAAATGAACCAGTTCAAATGAACTATTTTAAATGAAGTAGTTCAAATGAACCAGCTCAAATGAACCAGTTCAAATGAACCAGTTCAAATGAACTAATTCAAGTAAATCAGTTCATATGAACTAGTTCAAATGAACCAGTTCAAATGAACAAGTTCAAATGAATCAGTTCAAATGAATAAGTTCAACTGAACTAGTTCAAATGAACAAGTTCAAATGAACTAGTTCAAATGAACAAGTTTAAATGAATCAGTTCAAATGAACAGGTTTAAATGAATCAGTTCAAATGAACACGTTCAACTGAACTAGTTCAAATGAACAAGTTCAACTGAACTAGTTCAAATGAACCAGTTGATATGAACAAGTTCAAATGAATCAGTTAAAATGAACCAGTACAAATGAACCAATTCAAATGAACTAGTTCAAATGAACTAGTTCAAATGAACAAGTTCAAATGAATCAGTTCAAATGAACTAGTTCAAATGAACTAGTTCAAATGAATCGGTTCAAATGAACAAACTCAAATGAACTAGTTCAAATGAACTGATTCAAATGAATCAGTTCAAATGAACTATTTCAAATGAACAAGTTCAAATGAATCAGTTCAAATACACCAGTTCAAATGAATCAGTTCAAATGAACTAATTCAAATGAACAAGTTCAAATGAACTAGTTCAAATGAACTAGTTCAACTGATCCAGTTCAACCAGCTCAAATGAACCAGTTCAAATGAACAAGTTCAAATGAACAAGTTCAAATGAACAAGTTCAAATGAACTAGTTCAAATGAACAAGTTCAAATGAACCAGTTTAAATGAACCAGTTCAAATGAACTAGTTCAAATGAATAAGTTCAAATGAATCAGTTCAAATGAACTAGTTCAAATGAGAAAGTACTAATGAACTAGTTCAAATGAGCTAGTTCAAATAAACTAGCTCAAATGAACTAGTTCAAATGAACTACTTCAAATGAACTTGTTCAAATGAACCAGTTCAATCAGCTCAAATGAACAAGTTCAAATGAACCAGTTCAAATGAACTGTTTCAAATGAAGAAGTTCAAATGAACTAGTTCACATGAACAAGTTCAAATGAACAAATTCAAATGAATCAGTTCAAATGAACTAATTCAAATGAACAAGTTCAAATGAACTACTTCAAATGAACTTGTTCAAATGAACCAGTTCAATCAGCTCAAATGAACAAGTTCAAATGCACCAGTTCAAATGAACTGTTTCAAATGAAGAAGTTCAAATGAACTAGTTCACATGAACAAGTTCAAATGAACTAAATCAAATGAATCAGTTCAAATGAACTAATTCAAATGAACAAGTTCAAATGAACTAGTTCAAATGAACAAGTTCAAATGAACTAGTTCAAATGAACAAGTTCAACTGAATCAGTTCAAATGAACCAGTTCAAATGAATCAGTTCAAATGAACAAGTTCAATTGAACTAGTTCAAATGAACAAGTTCAAATGAACTCGTTCAAATGCTCAAGTTCAAATGAACTAGTTAAAATGAACAAGTTCTAATGATCTAATTCCAATGAATCAGTTCAGATGAAATAATTCAAATGAACAAGTTCAAATTAACTAGTTCAAATGAACTCGTTCAACTGAACCAGTTCAACCAGCTCAAATGAACCATTTCAAATGAACCAGTTCAAATGAACCAGTTCAAATGAACTATTTTATATGAAGTAGTTCAAATGAACCAGCTCAAATGAACCAGTTCAAATGAACCAGTTCAAATGAACCAGTTCAAATGAACCAGTTCAAATGAACTAATTCAAATAAATCAGTTCAACTGAACTAGTTCAAATGAGCAAGTTCAAATGAACTAGTTCAACTAAACCAGTTCAAACAGCTCGAATGAACTAGTTCATATGAACCAGTTCAAATGAACAAGTTCAAATGAACTACTTCAAATGAATAAGTTCAAATGAACTAGTTCAAATGAACAAGTTTAAATGAATCAGTTCAAATGAACAGGTTTAAATGAATCAGTTCAAATGAACAAGTTCAACTGAACTAGTTCAAATGAACTAGTTCAGATTACCAAGTTCAAATGAACTAGTTCAGATGACCAAGTTCAAATGAACTAGTTGAAATAAACAAGTTCAACTGAACTAGTTCAAATGAACCAGTTGATATGAACAAATTCAAATGAATCAGTTAAAATGAACCAGATCAAATGAATCAGTTCAAATAATCAAGTTCAACTGAACTAGTTCAAATGAACAAGTTCAAATGAACTAGTTCAAATGAACATGTTCAAATGAACTAGTTCAAATTAACTAATTCAAATGAATCAGTTCAAATGAACTATTTCAAATGAACAAGTTCAAATGAATCAGTTCAAATACACCAGTTCAAATGAATCAGTTCAAATAAACAAGTTCAACTGAACTAGTTCAAATGAACAAGTTCAAATGAACTAGTTCAAATGAACAAGTTCAAATGAACTAGTTCAAATGAACAAGTTCAAATGAACAAGTTCAAATGAACTAATTCAAATGAATCAGTTCAAATGAACTAATTCAAATGAACAAGTTCAAATGAACTAGTTCAAATGAACTAGTTCAACTGATCCAGTTCAACCAGCTCAAATGAACCAGTTCAAATGAACAAGTTCAAATGAACTAGTTCAAATGAACAAGTTCAAATGAACTAGTTCAAATGAACAAGTTCAAATGAATCAGTTCAAATGAACAAGTTCAACTGAACAAGTTCAACTGAACTAGTTCAAATGAACAAGTTCAAATGAACTAATTCAAATGAATCAGTTCAAATGAACTAGTTCAAATGAACAAGTTCAAATGAACCAGTTCAAATGAACGAGTTCAAATGAATCAGTTAAAATGAACCAGTACAAATGAACCAGT